CCTACGACGTCGTGTCGTTACTAACGTACAACAAAGAACGACGTAAGTACTAGAACAAAAAAAGAAAAAGAAAAAAGAAAAAAAAAAAGAAGTAATTTAAAATTACCATGCTTATCAAAGGGAACATAATTTGAAAATATATTCATGTATATAATGAACTACTGGGGAGTAGACTTTTCCTGGGTTCCTCGTACTCTTTTCTCTAATATCACTAAACAACAAGCTAAAAAAAGTGATAAATCTGGTTATTAATGGCAAACACAGCAAATAATACCCACCTTTTGTTACATGAATCTTAAAAATAAATGAATAGTGTGCAGTTTATTTTAAACATGAATAGTAATATTATATAAAAGAACTGAACTTTTGTCACAGATGTATTACTTGGTATAAAGGTTGTACTTTATATATTTCATTATATATTCTAGAGAGGTATTTTTGAAAATATGGTATCATTTGTTGCAGAAATTCTGGTCGTAAATCCTATTGTGATGGGTGCTTTTGAGAAATGGGGAGATATTTCTATTCTGTATGCTACAGATTTAGTACATTGATAGTACCTGATGCATTTCTCAGTAAGTTTCCCAAGTTTCTAAAAGGTTTTCTTCTTTAGTTAAGAGATTAACAATGTGATTTAGGTTGAGTGCTGTCAGATACTGGAGAGAAATTTCACTGAAATGGTCAGATTAAAATGAGAAAGCTCTAGAGAGAAGAGTTGTGTGTTGTTGTCTTCTTCAGAAAGTGTGACAAACATAACATTTAGGATGAAGGCCATTATGAGAGTTGATGCAAGTAGAAAATGGACATTAACATTTTCCAACACTGAAAATGTATTTCTGATAGATACCTCTACTCACATCTAGCATTCCTGATTCACTGTGCTGCCCTCTATGGGCAAACCTTTTTGCTTGCCACTAGCCTTGAGGCTCCCAAATCTCACATGGTATTGCTGCATTGTTGTATGCAAATGAACATGAGATAACCCTCCACCAATAGCTGGCTACCTCAAAACTGATTGTTCAATCATCACTTTGAGATTAGGTAAAAAAGTACTATGTATTGGAAGTGAGGAGAAAGGGTGATCAGAGATGAATCTCTATCTGAAATACATTTTCAGAATTGGAAAATGTAAACTTTCATTATAATATATATAATCTAAATTCACATTTAGCTAGAATCCCACTTTCAAATGAAGGGACCAGTGCAAAATTTTACCTAGGGAAGCACCTGAAGAAAACCCATGGAGTGCAACACCCTATACCTTGGAACAGTACAGGGGCACAACCATGAAAGACTACACCTCGTCTGTACCAGAGTACATTCTTCACTGGAAAGGAAGGGAAATGTCACAAGGACAGGTCAAAAATACAAACACAGCCCAAAACCTGCATCAGGCTTATGAATGTGCTATTTTTTTAGTGTGGCCATACAGTTGATTAATCCACACCCTCTATCCTCAAAGGGATGAATCCATGAAATGAGGAAAACTGAACAAGAAGGAGGAAGCAGGATACCTACTGACATGCGAGTCATATCTAATCACCAATGCTCAATGACAAGGGTAATAAGAGCTGACAAAGAATCTCTGTGAAATTCCAATGGTTGTAAAAAGTTCACCAAAGAGCCTGCGTATGAGCCTGACCTAAGAGGCTAAGGCTACTAGGGAAGATCCCATCCTCAAGAGTGATAGAACTTTGGGAGCTGTAATAGAACTGAAAACCCAACAAATGAAATCAATGATGAGAAGGGCAGGCCCGACTGTGACGAGTGTAGAAAAAGAAAAACACCCAAATGGATAAGATATTGTATAGGTTGTAGAAAAGACTTCTCCAACTTGATTAACAGCCCATTATAGCCACCTCCGGGAGCAGCTGATAGGGGTAACGGGTGGATTCCTGTTCAGAACGAGCGAACAGTCGATCAAACAAAGAGGAAAGCACAACTTGAGAGCATATAAGTGATGAACATATGATTGAATGCCTGACAAAACATAAAGGCCAAATGCAAGTCCAAAGCCCAGTGCACGAAACAGAGAAACCACCCTGTGGAGAACAAACCAAAGATAGGGTCATGAGTGACGAAATATTGTGATATATAAATAAGCATTCATGATATTCCACTTTGCGATCAATAAACCTGGAGAAAAAGCTCACCTAAGTGTGAGAAGGGACTACAAGGTAAAACAGGGCAGATTGAAAATTAGAATGAGGTAGGACAAACCAAGTACAGGCTGCCAGTCTCCAGTTTGGTGCAAGGATTACAAACAGCCTGGAATAAAAACATGAAGAAAGATGATGAACAGGTGCAATGGCCTGTAGAAACAGAAAATCTTGTACCACCTCAGACAGATGCAGACTGGTGGCAGGATCTGAGGTGAGGAAAGGAATTGGATGACAAATCCCTCTGATAAAATCCAAGAAACCCAAGGAACTGTAGTGAAAGATCTCCAAAGGGTAACAATATAATACAGTCAAGCTCCCACTGTACCAGAACCCTCTGGTTAGTCTCCGGTACTGTCGGCGACATGCCCATCAATGAAGAATAAAACAACGAGATGAGAAACCCCTAGAAAAGAACAGGGATGGGTAGATAAGGACCAGGACCCACTGTACCGGAACCCTCTGGTTAGTCTCCAGTACTGTCAGTGACATGCCCATCAATGATGAATAAAACAATGAGATGAGAAGCCTCTATAAAGGAACAGGGATGGGTAGATAAGGACCAGGATGGGAAAGGAATAGGGATGTGTATCGTGGCTCCAACTGCAACAAATGTGCAACCAAAAAGGAAAAGGTAGTGTGTTGACATACAGATTATACATGAGATTCCAAAGTCACAGATACATGCTGGAAAACATATCATCAAAGAAAAATACAGAAATCCCGAAAAGAAAGAGACAACAAAAGTACCTAGGAGGACAAAGTCACATTGTGACTCAGAAAATCCCAACTACAGTAAAACCATGTGTAAAGTGAGAGCTGAAGATGACAAAGGAGCCAACATGGAAGTAATAAGGAATCAGAGAAAAAATGGGGAATTGGATAAAACATAACATACATGAGAAATCATGCAGAAAAATGCTCTAACAGGCCTAGATGATTCTGCAGGCTGGGTAGGGAAAAACACAGCAAAATCTGGTGCTGTAAAAAAGACTATCAAATCTTCATCAGCCTGAACAGGTTTGGCTTGTCACAGAAGGATTAGTGATTTACCCATATAACAATCAATCTCATGATGGATAATAGCAAAGAAATCCAAAGACAGGTCTCTCCCGCCTGCAGCCTGTGAAAATAGTGCTAGAGGTAAAAAATCCGATGTGAGAATATGAACTTAATAATTAATTGTACAAATACATATATCAAACAAATGTGTTTGACGTAAAATATACAAGTGAGAGAAAAAAATAAAAATAAAGACTGGGAAATTAAGTTAAATTAAAAGATTTTTTTCAATGTAATGAAAAAAAAAAGATGAAATCCCACTTCAGCAATTAAACTATGAAAATCATGTTTCATACAAAGAGCACCAAAAGAAAAAACTTTTGAACTCGAGTACTGCCAAACAAGAAGTGATAGTTTGGTAGAAATGAATAGAGGAAGCCACATGCATCATGTTGGTTCAGGGTTCACACATTATGATTTGTATGAGAGATGCATTGGAATCAGTCAATTCCAATGGAGGGGAGAGAGAAGGCTTGTGGCATGCATAAATTTATTTTGCATATAGAGGGTAGCACTGAAAAAGAATAGCTATTTATGTGTGAGAAGATAGCATACCATATCAGAAGCAAACTTTACCAATTTAATTAATTATAGCCACATCAATGAAACTAACATAAAAAAAAAGTAAAAGCATAAACCAAAGAACTGACCCCTGAGGCCTACCTCTGGGTTTCATCAATAGAAACTTTTAGCTTTCTGTCACACTGCCACAAATGAATCCAATTGACTAGTATTTTCTCAACTCCCAGTTTTGGCCCATTGATTTTATTTTATATAAGTACAGTTCTGTAAGGCTCCTTGTCACAAGCCTTTTGTAAATTTAAGCACACCAAGTGCACACACTTTCTATCATCCCCATAACAATTAATGTTCTAAAAAAAATTTAAAACATTAGTCAGGAAATATTTCCCTAGTGAATCTATGCTGGCTTTCTCTTCTGATACTATATTTCACTAAATGATTTTGTAAAGATTATTTACTGCTACAAGTCTTACAACTTACTTAAAAAAATATAAGTAATGTTAACAACTATTTAATTTGGCCAGAGGTACTTGTCCACTGTCTACTGACCTACCAATATTGAAAGGGAGAAGTAAACATGTCTGACTTAGACCTTCTTTAGCCTTATCCAAACCAATAAGTACCTTTCAGGTGCCAACCACACACCTGTATATCAAATTTAAAAACTTTAATAAAAGTAATAATACTAGGCCAGGAAATTCACCATTTTTGGACATGTGTAGAAGAATCACCATGGGAGGGAGACAATATCAATGAAGGAATAGGAAGTAGTTCACATTCCAGCTTGAATGATTTCTTCCAATGGTCAGCAAAGATGAGCAGCCAAAGACATGGTCATATGACAAATGTGAAGAGAAGAAATGTTTAGGAGACAAACCTCCGTGGATAAGTCTGAATATGCCAGCCTAAGGATTTGACTAGCCTAACCAGTTAGTGTGACAGGAAACAGATCATAGGAAACAGAAGGGTTCCAGGGAATAAAATGTCAAGACCAGAAACCCCAAAAGGAGGCAGCATGTGCCACATAAAACTTTAAGGAGTAAACCTGACAAAGAAGCCAATCCGTATTGGAATGGGAGCACAGGTGGGAGGTGGAAGATAAAAAAATTGGTGTGAAAGCCAAATGGCCTTCCCGGGCAACAGAGGTCTTAGGGAGGCAGGACCAGTCTGGATATAGGATGACATAAAAGGATCGGTGGAGAGTTCTGGTAACATTAATAACATAAATATCTGATCAACAATGTTCTCAAGCTAGGAGGAAAAGGAAACATACCACATACCTGATTAACTAGCTGTAAAAAAAAAAAAAGAAAAAAAAAAAAAAAGAGGGTGTCAAAGGTGATATCTTGTAGACGTGTGGAGTGTAACTGACCAAAATAAGAAGGTGCAAGAAAAAATTAATCCAATGTTCTTCTCCTTGATTGTATTCATCCTCAGAAATACTGTCCGGTTGAAAATCAGCAGAAATCGCTGGCCAAACATAGGAATCTAGCTCTCTGCTAGGCCTGTACCTCCTCAGTAGATAAGTCAAACCTGATGCCCGAGTCGTTGTATCAGAAGCATTGTATACCATAATGGGAACTTCCATTGTCAATACAATAAATCATAAAGTTATTCTAAGTTACCATATAATTTTATAACAAAAAAAATAAATGTAAAAAAAATTGAAACAACTGAATGTAAATACAGTAAAAAAAAAAACTGTTGAAAAGGGAATTGAAATGTCAATGAAGTAGAGTTGTAAACAGTAGTCACATGCAAAAAAACATTTAAATGATGCTGTGCCAATTGAGAAAGTGCCAATATAGATGGTGCAATACTATTGGTGGAGGGTGGTCACATGCTATACATATGTTCAAAAGTGACACAAAGTTTCTGTGATATATAGACTGGTGTGCTGAGCATAACATTATTTAGCAATGCTTGGGGGGGGGGGGAAGAAAGAAGATCAAGATAGCTTTGTGTGAAAGAGGTAAGACTGTATCAGAATTACTTCTTTTAAGTAGTAAAAGTATTACATCAAGATACAAGATAATAATTATTAAATATTAGACTGAAATAGTTATAAGAACTGTAATGAAAGTTAGAAGTAAAACTTTGCATCTTTCTATTATTACTTGGTAGCTGCTGAGGAGTTAAGTATTTATACTATTCTGTAAGGAGTATCAAGAACTAAACTGGCGAGTTTGGATCTCTCGTTGAAATAGAAAACTTGATATATTAGATGAAACTTATAGAAACCTGATTAGATTTAGAGAACATTTATAACAATAATTATTTTAAAATTCCAGGATATAGTTATTTAAGTGATTTTTTTTAAATGTGGTGAGTACCATAGCTATTTAGTTAACGGATGCATTGCAACATGTCACGACATTGTTGGATATTGTTGCAATAATGAAGTAAGGGAATATTTGTTGCAGTAATCATTACATAATTAAGTTTGATGTTTTGGTTGAGATAAAAATGAAATGACATTTTAGTTCCTAATTTTCAGAAAAATTATTTTGAGCCAAGATTTATCATTAGTAAATTGGGATAATGAGTTTAATGGTGATATGAAACAGATTTGTGAAATATTAAAAATAAATTGTTTAAAATTCAAGATTCACACATGTAAGCATGTTCCTAAAGAGAGGAAAAGAATAATGGGGTAGATTAAGCTTAATAGGCTTACTAAACATGAGAGGGAAAATTTGGGGGTAAATATCATACATTTAAATTGATGGACTGTATAGAAAATTAAACAAGAGGGAATCCTCAATAGCCGTGGCACTTGAAATTCTTTTATGCAGGATTACAGTAAATTAATCTATGAGACCTTTTTCCTCTTTATTTGCAATATTTTTGTGCACCGACAATACCAAGCGTGGGGTGTGCATATACCCAATTCGATTTTATTACTCATCAGGACCTCTATCAGCCTATTCTCAAATTGATATTATTTTAGGTAGGATTAAAGTAAATAAATCTATGAGACTTTAGGTGTGGTCAAATACATCAATCTAAAGGGTTTGACCTCCTGAGTACAAAACTGTAATTATATCTCAAATCAGTCAAGAGATGATGAACCTATGAGCTAAAAGTTTGTATCTGTAAAATAACAAACAAACTCAGAGTTGTTCTCTCAACCACTTTGCCATGGCTACAAAACTATAGACTTGACTAAAAATATATTAAGAAAGCCAAAAGGGCTTATGGAGACTGTTGGCTGCTAGTGTTCAAAACTAACACAGAGCATTTTTTTTGTTGTTGTTTAAGTATGTTACAGGTACAGGGTTAAAGTGATATGTTAAAATAGCTAAGTTTCGTATTTTTTTCTTCTCTTCTGAGAAGATATTGACAATATTCCTTACCCTGAGTATTATATTTACGAAATATTGGAACTGAATCATATAGATACTAATCCCTTGGTGGTAAGTAGAAGTATTGAAGTTTTCTCTAAGGGTTTATAGGAAGTCAAAGATCAAAAAAGAAAGCCTCTCTCTTTCATTTAAATGCAGTAGTAAAAGTTGTCCAGGGAATTATAGGCCAGTTAAACGTATACGTACTTCTGTAGTGTTAAGATTAGAAAATCACTTACTAAAATATAAACATTATAAATGAAAGACAACATAGTTTTAACAAAAGAAGTCTTGCCTTATCTGTAAGCTTTTCTTAAAGATGTTATTTGCTACCTGGACAATGGAAAGATTATGGGCTTGATATACTTAAGCTATTCACACACAAAAGATTAGCTAAGAAAGTCATATTGCTAAACTTTGGGGAAAGGCTAGTTAACTGGATTATAAGGTGGTTGGATGGGAGAAAGTAAAAGGTTGTAACTAATGTAACCCAGTCAAAGTGGATCCTTGTTACTAGTGGAATGCATAAGGGGTCTGTACGTGAGCCTTTGTTGTTGTTTTTTATTTATATTAATGATATTGATAGAGACATAAAATAACAAGTAACTTAGTAAAAGTTGATGATATTAAACTCTTGGGTATTTCTACCTGTATTGAGAATGTTGAGTTATTATGGAATGACATTTAAACTGGCAAGTTTGATGAAAATTTGACAAATGAACTCTAATTATAATAAATATACTAGGTAATGCAGTTGGGTGATCATAATTTGGATAAGATATTTAATATAGACAGGAACTCATTCAACAGCATGACTGAAGAAAAGGATCTAGACAAACTGGTGGATAAGTAGTCCTCTTGTACTTGTAGTAAAGATAGCAGGCTTTTGGGTGTATTTAGAGATATTGGTTACAAGTCAAAGAAAGTAATTATCTCTAAAGAAATTGTTAGGCTTCACTCAGAATATTGTGTACAGTTTTGATTTCCTTACCTAAGAAAAGATTCTTAGTTAATGGGAAGGGTTCAAAGGAAGGCTACTATTAGGATGATTCCTGGAATGGATGGGTTGTCTTATACAGATAGGTTAAGATCTCAAAACTTATTTTCTCCTGGGAGTAGGAGAAAGGGTGATATTTTAGACTTTCACAACATTATCCAAGAGATCAATAGGATAAAGGTTTGTGATTTCTTAATGTTCTACTTTAAAGACAATAAGATCAGACGACACAAGTTTCAGATTTGTTAAAAAAAAGAAAAAAAAGACAGGCTAAACTCCAGTTAAGACAGTTTTACTTTTCTAACAAAAAATGACCAATGGAATGAGTGGACTAGCAATTTGAAAGAGTTTATGATAGGTATCAATGATTTCCTGAAAAGAGAGGGTAGGTTTACATTTTACTTTTCTCAAGGGTAGGTATGCAAGAATAGCTTCGAAGGACCAAAGAACTATTCATTATCCATGTGTTTAATTGTTAAGAACATTATTAATATCAAAACACTAAATATTATTATTAATATTATATGCACAACTTGACAATTCTGTGATAAAAGACATACTTCACATTCTCATGCGATTCCTGAAAGGTAAATTTCAAGTATCATTACACTGTGAAAAAGCTGCATCAGAGTATGAATATTAAATTAAATATAACCTAAATAAGGTAAAACAGTGTAAAAATTGCACAACTAAAATCCATCATATGCAATTATTTATTAATGTTGCTGCATTAGGATTCATTTATTATTAAGTATTTTAAGTAGTGAATTTACTAATAGTATTACAATACCATAGTTTTATATTGTTATTAATATTAAAAATACTGTGTACTACTACTACTACTACTAGGAATTATGGATAAAATTTAACCAATTGTAGTTATCCTATAATTAACAACTATAGACTGTAGTATAATCTAAAATTAAGTAATTCTGTTGTACTTCAACTACTTGAATTTTCAATGAGATTCGAATGGTAATTTGCATTGTACTTCATACTGTAAAGCTTAACTTGCGTTTTACGCGAGTCCGAGTAGGTAATAAAATTGTTAATTAAGACTTAATTCAAATTTCAAGAGCCATCAACTTCCTAGTACTAGTACAGTAGTTAATTCTTAACTCATGATGTAACAATTACCAATACCAGCTAAAACTAGTAAAATAGGCTATAACCTATAATATAATTCATATTATAAGTATAAAGTATAATTGCTGTCTATCAACTTCAACATTTTAATTTTTATTATTTATGTCTTTGGCTTTTTGAGTTTGATAAAGATTTACGAATAGGAGTTTCATATCCAAACTATAACAATCATAATTAAAAATTGTTATACATACCATCACACCATTCTCAGACATTTTACTGTTAGTATTTCAAACGTTAAAGTCACATAACATCAAATTATATTTTTTCTCATAGTTTAGTACCAACATTCACGATTCAGTATCAAACACACACACAAACTGAGTAAATAGGCGTGTCTGTACTCGTAACGAACTGTAAATAGAGGTCACTTCCGCAGTTCTTATTATGATACTTTTATAAGTCGAGAAAAAATATTAGAATCAGTGTTGTGGGAAAGGCGTTTCCTTACCTTTTTAATTTTAGCCGGAACGCCGTTCCCTCACTATTTCGAACGAATTCGAATCTCTAAGTTCACTAAGTTTTGCACACCCTTAATAGAAATAATCATTAACCCTTTCATCCAGGTTGAAGGCAAGTAATCAAAGTATAATTAAAGAAATAAAAATGCAAAATAAAATATGTAGTTCTGTTAGTATTGATCACCTTTTCACACTTATTTTCTGCAGTTATTATATTGTTAGCAGCTGACTTAGAAACTCTACGAAAGAAAATGAATAGTACTGGCGGGACTTTTCACTATGGACCACGAAATTCCAAGGTAAATCTTCTGAGAATTTCTACTTTCTAATCTTTTCATACCTATTTCCTAAGTTTATTTCCTGTTCTGGATTTCGCGCAAAGCTACACGAGGGTATTGCGCTAGCAGTCCCTAATTTAGCAGTGTAAGACTAGAGGGAAGGCAGCTAGTCAGTGGATCTGTTAACAGGACGCCCACCTTATGAAGAGTTGCCTGAGAATGTGTCAGAGTTTGGGAAAGTGTTATTGGAAAGGATGGATGATATTCACCATCAAGTGCGTTCAAACTTGAAAACGTCTGCTGATTCGATGAAGTTATCTTATGATAAGAGATCTACTGAAGTCAGTTTTGAACCAGGAGACAAGGTGTGGTTGTATAATCCCTGGAAGACCAAAGGGAAGTCTCCTAAGTTGTCTTCTCCATGGGAAGGCCCATATGACATAGTGGATAGTCTCTCAGACGTGACTTTCTGGATAAAATGTGGTCGGCAAGGTAAGCCAAAAGTGGT